ATAGATAGAAAACCCCGTTGATTGAAACAGTCGATTATATGATTGAAATCGTAGGTACATCATACAATAAACTGTATTGATGAGTTTTAGTTGTTGATTGCTATCGTTTTACAGATATCCACATGCTTGATTCATTCAATTTTTTCTGTCATTTTCAAACTCAGGAATTTTGTCTCATCTCGTTGTTGAATTGATCTATTAATAGAATTCACCTGTAAATTGTGAGATGGGTTGATTTTCGAACGTTATAATAATGTCGTAATGTCATCGAATTATACTGTGAAATGAGAAAGAAAAATTGAATGCAGAACACTCCTATGTTGAAAGTTAAGTTTTGAACAGTAGAACAATTTTGATTGCACCAGTTTTTTGACCATCAGTGTAGTAATTTGTGCCTAAGTAGTAACTGAAGAAATAGATATTCTCAACAATGCAACTCCATTTTTTTTCAGTATGTCTGAGACTTCAGGTGAACCCCGAAAATAAGAACCAGTTCAGTGGTATCAGTCCTGAGAGAGGATTCGCAGACTTTATCTTCGCACATGTTGTGCTTCATTTAGTAGTTATGAATTTCATTGGATGAAAAATTTGTTACACGCTGTTTAATTTTATGAATAAGCTTCATTAAATTTTTTTTCGTATATTAATTTTTTATTAAATCAAGAGGCTCCTTTATGTTCATCAAATATGTCCAGAGGAATATCTGAATAAACCATTAGAAGTCTACATCCGATATAATTTGTTTATACCATCTATTGTAGATTTCTTACTTTGAGAATATCCTAAATAAATTATCTAATATATTTTCATTTTGAATGTATGTATATGTATACCCATCTTTTTATTATATCCCTTGTTAATCAGTTTAGTTATTGGGACACGCCCACAAAGTGGTGTGTCATCTCAATTGAAAGGGGGTGATAAGGGAAACAGAATGGTAGGGGTTTTAGAGCGAGGAAAATAGTTCACCTTAACCTAAAATTCAAAAGACAGATGGGTGCTCACGCCTAGACAATACAAGACAGTTGGAAGTGGCTTAAACATAACTTGGAAGAGCATGGTTGCAATGGTGATGATCTGGCTAGGCACATGTGCGAGTACCTATGTTGTCGAAAGGTCCGCCACAATAAGTTGGATCTATTCTTGGAGCTACCCCTACAATTATGTTCCTCTCGTTACCCCTTTTCGGTTGATATGCCACACTACCTTGTGAGCATAGTCACAATCACTAATGTCCTGCTGGGTGTAAACTTTCAAGGTAGGAAATAACTGTTAAACTCTGTTTTCCGAGTTTAATTCAACCAATAGAATCAGAATATGCTGTGAAGATAAATAGAGCACTTCCTCTGGAACTGCTTCAACAAAGCAGGGATCGATCGGTTCCAGACAATTACAGGCCTATTCACTGGGGACTGCAACAAATTCATCTCAATTGAAAGGGGGTGATAAGGGGAACAGAATGGTAGGGGTTTTAGACCGAGGAAAATATTTCACCCTAACCTAAAATTCAAAAGACAGATGGGTGCTCACGCCCAAACCATCCAAGGCAGTTGGAAGTGGCTTAAACATAACTTGGAAGAGCATGGTTGCAATGGTGATGATCTGGCAATGCACATGTGCGAGTACCTATGTTGTCGAGAAGTCCGCCACAATAAGTTGGATCCATTCTTGGAGCTACCCCTACAATTATGTTCCTCTCGTTATCCCTTTTCGGTTGATATGCCACACTACCTTGTGAGCGTAGTCATAATCACTAATGTCCTGCTGAGTGTAAATTCTCAAGGTAGGAAATAACTGTTAAACTCTGTTTTCTGGGTTTAATTCAACCAATAGAATCAGAATATGCTGTGAAGATAAATAGAGGATTTCCTCTGGAACTGCTTCAAAAAAGCAGGGATCGATCGGCTCGAGACAATTACAGGCCTATTCACTGGGGACTGCAACAAATGGGCAGAAACAGCTCCTCATATTTTATGGGAATGTGAAGCATTGGATCACAGATGGTAAACTTTAAACTTCAACTCAACACTCCGAAAATAACTTATAAAATCAATCATAATTATAGGTTAGTTTTATAATTATGGAGGGTTCACATGCTGGCTTTTCACTTCTTATAGCGTATTGTATTCTCATTGGCCGAATTGTGTCTGAAATATCTGAAAGCGCATATCAAGGTCATAGGCCAAAAAGTCAATTACAGTCAGACTTTTCGCGGAAAAAGCGGAGATTGTTAGGTTAGATTGGTTAGAAGTAGAAGCAAAAGGGTCGTCACGGCATTTCGTAGTATGGAAAACTATAATAAAATGCTGATTCAATTTCCTAATATAGTAAATGATATAGTTGTTGAATTTACGGTCACCAATGAAGACATTCATATTTTATCAACTAGTAGATATTGCATTTGTAGTTGAGTGTTTTTTATAACCGATGGAATCCCAATTTTTCCATTTGGAAGGAAAGTTGAAGTTTAAAAAATGACTGACGTTTGACGTCGCTACCATTGAACTTTTCTTCCCCTTTCAAACCATGTTCCAAAATATATTATCGGTAGTTGAAAGGATCAATAAATATTTTATTTTAACTCGATCAAATATATCTTTGAAAAAATCAAAGTATTTGTTTCGTATCATGAAATGTTTATTTCAGAACTAGAAAATTGAATAATGAAATTTGAATGAGTTTTATGAGATGTCAAACTCACATCAAATGTTAGTGACGTCACGCCCATCGTTTTTTATTCGATTTTGAAAAACTACAAACAATAAATATGAAACCACTTTTCACCTGTGTGGTTATCCCAATATTAGTGGTCCATTCATACGCAACTCACATTATGTACATAAGAATATGATGTATACATCCAGCAAGGGAACTCTTCAAACTATACTCTGTACATCTAAACAAAAAAGTGCTCCATAACAGTCCCATGCTTAGTGCACGTGATCTTTCAGACAAGGCTACTTGTACAGAGTCGCACTAAGGAACGACTGATTTTTTTTTTATAATAAGCGGCTGGGTATAGGAAATTTTTTTAGGTGGAGTGTAGAGACCCAAATTAGCAGTTTCTTCAGCAGTATCAGTACTTGACATTTTAAAAATTTTAAACTTCAAAAACCCATTTATTAATAAGTACACACCACATGCGTTAAATCGTAACTGACCACTCTGACACTGTAACATGAATATCGCCAGCCGATTGCAGTTAAATCTGATTGGCCACCGTAAGGAGGCTTATTTATTTTAACCAATAAATGCAAATGTGCGTGATGATCGTGCTTTGTTCACGCATCTATCATTGTTTGGGTTACTTTAAACTGCCCTGCAGAGTTCCCTTAAAACTTAAGATTTGATTAAATGATGATGAATGCCTTCTCACTCAATTAATATGGTTTGTGAATTAATATACAAGCTTTCTTTATAATCTGCGCCAGCCATCTCACTAATCTTTGGACGGGCACCAAAAATAATTCCATAATTTACATAGGAATTGAGTTAGTTGTCAAATTAAATTTCAAATTTTTATTTCACTAAGATTACATTTATATATGTTCTAATCTCGACTGCAATTGTTTTCTTATCAGTTCTATCCTTTGTGGTTTTGATATTTAAATAGAGTGAATATTCAGAAAAAAAGCATTCAGTTATAGATAGAATAAAAGATCAAAGATTTATAGCTGTTGACTTTTTAGCGGGGTGTAAGTGTGGCTTTTACACTGATTTTTACCACAAAAACTAGAGTAAGTGGTTTGTGATTTTTACGAGGGGAGTAGTTCAAACGTACCTTTCTGATATTTTTCAATACAAATAAGTAAATATCTATATCAGAATATATAAATACGACTTGGTAGTAGAGGAATGGATGAATATGATTCCAATTCAAAAATTACCGCTGTTCCAAAACACGGTCTGAAAGTTAAGTTGAATCATGAATATCCCGAGAAGAGAAATCAAAATTTCATTCCACCATTGAGGGTTATTATTCATTTATTGCCGCTGTTATTGAGGTGAGTAGATTTATTTTTCTCGACAAATATATGCCTCATTGTTTAAAAAATCAAATTTTCCGATATTTTTAAATCATTAGGTCTTATGATCAGCTCTTTTCCTAGGTACTTTTTCATAATTATGTTTGCAGATACTTATGGTATTATATAAAAACAAAATGGAAAGGAGGACATGTAGTAATGGATTTCATCGGTCAGAGGGACTCCAAACAAATATATGGTAAGCACTCTAATTTATTGAAAATGTAAGTGTTAATACTATAATTTCCTAAGAGAAATCAAAATCAGTTTGAAGACGTCGTTGAGGGAATGAACTGACCTAATAATTAACATTCATGTCTTCCAATATTCGTACCCTGTAGGATCTAGTAAATGAGAGAGAGAAATATTATTTATTGTCTGAAGAACAGAAATTCTTATTGACAAAGTGTATCTTATGCCAGCTGGAAAACAACTGCTTTTTGGCTAATACACGATGGACTTCGAATTGCAGATGCTTTTCGTTCTTATAGTGGCAGGTCTTCATAGAAATCAATCGAGTAGATCACCTACAGACTGGATATTATCCGAAAAGATCCAACCCAAACAGCAGTATGCTTGGTACTTGAGTAATTTAATCACAGATCTACTGCATACATGACACCTCCATCTGAAAGATTCGTTAACTACCATCAGCTCGATCTCGTTAACAAAGCCCCAAGCGTGTGCAAGATGACTTGTCAGATATAAGTCTCTGTTCATCGTGGTATTAGCTGGGAAAGTAGTTATTTCCCCTCTGGCATTCGTCAACTCCTACAGTGTAGAAACGTTGGTGGACATGAGATTTTTCAATTTTTTTTTTTTAATATTTTACTGATTCTGAAATTTTCATGAATAGTCAAAGACTACAAATTCACTCATCAGGAACACATAACCCCCTGGTCCTCATAATCATATTTCAGGTGTTCCGATTGGAGGAATTGGCAGTGGCACTGTAGGTAGAGGCTTTAAGGGAGAATTTTGCAGATTCCAAATGAGGCCTGGCCTCTACGAGTGGAATACTGTCGACGCCAATCAATTTATAGTCACCATCAAAGATGAGAATCAACAAACAATTTTGCATAGTTTATTGTCCACTTTCTCGTAAGTATTATATACATACCGTCGTTCAAATTGGACAAAAGTTTCCTATTTTGGGGAACTAGATTAATCTATTACTAGAATAATACATAGCAGAATTTTCTATTACAGTGGCTACAAAAAACAATGAGAAAAACTTGTGGTCCGTTTTTGAAAAAATAAAGTCAAAGATGAAATCTAATGAATTGAAATGTCTCATTGCAAATTGGTTTATATCAGATTAAAACAAATGTGAAGCGGTATTGAAAGCTCATTCGCCTTTTTTGTTATATCATTCAAAATGGAGGCAGTAGTGCCAAAAAATTGGAAAATTCTAGTTTTTGACGAATATTCTAAAAACAATCACTTATATTCTCGATTTCTGGTCCACAAAATAGCAAACTTTTGTCCAATTTGACAGACCTTGAAGGTCTTATCATTTATGAGATATCAATAGCGGTATCAACTAAAATAACAGCCTGTATAAGTGTTCATAAAGAAGGTCAGCTTATGATATAATTTATTTTATCATACAACAAAGGTAAACACGGTGATGATTCAAAAGTTCAGGGTCTACCTTTGGGATCTCTAGATAACATACAGTGTGACCCATTTAAAATGGAACCACCCCTGTAGAATGTGCATTTTTCAATCAATCTCAATTTTTTTTTATTGAAATATTAAGCATGAAAAACTGTATCTTGACACTAACTTTCACAATTTTAGTTTCATTTCCAAGGCACTCTATGGTTTTTTTTGTTTGTCAAAAACGGCAAAAGTTTATTAGGCAATTTTTGTTTTCAAATTTGANTCTACTTGGTGATGACAGTGTTGTCAGATCTCAAATATGTCTATAATCTGAATAAAAATTACAAACAAATACTTTGTTTCCAAAATTGAAGTTGTTGTAACTTCGTTGTTAACAAATATTTTTTAATGAAAATTTGACAGTTTTGATTTATAACGACTACGAATCCAGTGGTGTAGTCAAATTTGAAAACAAAAATTGCCTAATAAACTTTTGCCGTTTTTGACAAACAAAAAAAACCATAGAGTGCCTTGGAAATGAAACTAAAATTGTGAAAGTTAGTGTCAAGATACAGTTTTTCATGCTTAATATTTCAATAAAAAAAATTGAGATTGATTGAAAAATGCACATTCTACAGGGGTGGTTCCATTTTAAATGGGTCACACTGTAGATTTCTCAATTGCGTATTAATATGCATTGATTAGTTTGAAGGTGATTGACAATGTTTCATGATGAATTTCACTAGTTCGGACTTCCATTGTCTACTATATAAAATGATTTGAAATCCCTGAAACAACTAAAAAAGAAGAATTGAAAATGAATAGCTGAAAATAACAATTATATTAACCAAAATAAACCTGAAATGAAATAATAGAAAAAGTGCAGGAATCTTCACAGAAAATTTTCTGTGAAGATTCCTGCACTGACGCCTGTTGGATATAATCCAACGCCGTTCGTGGTATTAGCCAGTGGAGTAGTTGTTTTCTTATAGGCATCAGTCCATTCAACCTACTGTGTAGGTATATCCGAGACGGGCTTGAACATTTAAAGTTCATTTTTTTTAGATTTGTTTACTGCCTATCTTCAAGCGTAACCCACTGACTAATAACAAAAATATTAGAAAAAAATTGTGCCAGAATAGTAAGCTGGATATCAAATGACTCATTAAGAATAACTTATTCTTCAACGCAGATAAAACAGAAATTATTCTTATTAACAATTAACAAAACAGTGTGGAGCGTATTTTTCATGGAAAACAATGTGTCCCTAACAAATAATGATCACCATGTAAGATTTTTGGGACAAGTTTTTCAACTAGGAAGTTTCTATTAATAATTAAGAGGTTTTATGGTTTTTAGAAAGACATCTTTGCCAGCCTGGAAAAGTACCATTGATGCAAGTAAATGTTACTATACTGGATTGTATCCAAGAGCTTGGACTGAATATGATTTATCAGAGTATGGGATTAAATTGATTTGTAGACAAATAAGTCCTGTGATACCACATGATTATGAAGTAAGTTTATAAATTTGTGCAGTTCTTGCTAACTCTCTTAAATATTTCTATTTTAGAATAGTTGTTTGCCTTGTGCTGTGTTTGTGTGGAATGTCGAAAACTTATCAAAAGAACAAAGAACTGTGACAGTTGCTTTCACATTCAAAAATGGTACTGGTAATAAAAAAGAAGACAAAAATTGTAAGTTTTCTGAATACTTGTTTTTTTTATGTTTTTAATTTTTTCTTCGTTCCTCTTGGACACATTTTCATTCATTTCTGAAGTTATAGAAACAACATCCTTCTCACTGTCTTTTGGATATAGGTACTTTGTTGGTCGGTAGCTGAATTTTCTTATCAAATTTTACAGGGATTTTGCACATTCCTTTTGTGTTTCACCATTTACAATAATAATATTGTCGTTACCCTGAAATAGTTTATTGCTCTACTCAAACAGTTTGAGTAGAGCTTTGATGATGACAGTATGACCAGCACTGTTTTTTCAACTAAAATTACTTTTTTATTCCTTTTCTGCCAGTCTTCTTTGGTAATATTAGATACTTCTTCTTTAATTAGCTCTATTACCTTCTTATCAAATTTTGGAAAATTATTTTTACGCCTGATGCTTTGTTTCAATTTTCCCCAAATCAACTCGATGGGATTGGCAATACAAAAATAGGGGGGAAGTCTCAGTATGGTGTGTCTATACTTTTCAGCAATACTCTCAAGGTCATACACTTTTTAAAATATTTTTGTCTGTAAAACTTCAAGTAGTTGGTTTTTGGTATAGCAATCTTCAAAATACAAATTGCTATCCATTAAAAAACTTTGTAATTCATCTTTCCTCAAATATGTTTTCGGTACTTTGATGAGCTGTCGCGAATGATAGGAGGCGTTGTCAAGAACTATTACACTATTCGCATCCAAATTTGGGATCAATGTCTTTTCAAACCATTCCTTGAAAATATTAGCTTCCATGTTCAAAGAATTCGGAACCCATCCTTTACTTCCTTCCGCAATGCATAATGATTAGTCGCGATCCTTTGTTTGCAGGCATGTTAGGCGTACACATTCCCGAACCATCAGTCCACCCTTTCGTGAGTGTCATACCAAGTTTCGTCCAAATAGAAAATTTGCCATTGTTCTAGTCTATATTTAGTCATCTATTCTAAGTATTTGTTACGCAATTCCACTATTCTGCTGCTTTCCATAACTGCTTGACGTTTGTTTATTATTTTAAATATAAATCCTAGTTTCCTTATCCAATTCTGAAGAGTTTTGTCACAGCAGCTCATGTTATGGCCGGAAGTATTCAATTTCTTCCTTATGATTTCAGTTGAAGCAATCTCATTGCTTTCGTAACAGTCTTATATTATTTTTTCAATGATTTTATTAGATAAACATCTAAAGGTTTTGGTTATCCTGTATCACATCGCGTCTTGCATTCATAAGGTTTGTTTTTGATTATTTTCCGTACACTTGAGAAAGGAATTTCGGTCAAATCTGATGTTGCTTGTAATAGTTTGTTTTTTTTGAAACCAAACTTGAGATGTAGATTTTTATATACATTGAAACATACTCCATGTGTTTCAATATTCAAATGCATCCGAATCTTATTCACTGGTATCTCTTTTTCCCATGGTTCACCATCGCTATTGGAATCACTACACAGGAAAAAGTCTGCGTTGTTATCACAGTCGTTATTACTATTAGTACTTGTCCAAAGACGCCAGATTTTAAATAGATAACAAAAATTTAAAGTAATTATTACTATTCGTCACCGAACATGACTTCAAATTTAATATTATGACTCTTTAGCCAATAATAAAACTCAGTTAGTGAAAATTATCCAATATATAGTTCATATAAATGTTTATTGAAAAAATATTGAGGGTTTCTTACTTCTAACGAGAAACACATTTCAGTAAATTGCCCGATTGGTACAAAGGCGCCTTGTTCAATGAAACGTATTTCATAAGCGATGGTGGAACACTTTGGTTGGCACCAGAAGAGGAAGAAATGAATAACTTAACTGAAAATGACCCAAGGTGAGTTGTGTTTTCATCAAAATGTATATTTTCAATTCTCAAGCTACTTATTTTAGGCGAACTTATGGCCATTTCGCCTACTTAGAAGGCCAAGAATATATTATGTATAACTCTTATGATGTTCACTTCTATGCTTCTCATGCTTTGCACAAAAATTGGCCTCATCTTCAGAAATGTTTGAACTATGACCTGCGAGATTTTGTGTCTAAGGAAATTAACGCTGAGGTGACGATGCTTTATGACGGAAAAGTTGTGGAAAGGAAGCAGACCAATTCGATACCGCATGATGCAGGAAGTCCTGGTATGACACAGTAAATTTATTATTGTTGCAATGATCCTTTGATGTTTCTTCAAGTTTTGATGTATGCTTAAATTATTTAATTATTTTATAGATCATATTTTTCTTCTGGTCTGTTCAAAAGATTCGTTTGTTACATTTTCAACAGGCATATATCAGTATATTGGCAGGGAAACTTTTGAAATTGTATAATTAGTCATTACTCGAACATACTTGGAATATTTTCAATACTCAATACACTCGAATGGGTCTGTGAGAGTCAAAAAGTTAATCAGAGGTTTTCTAGGCTATTGACAACAGTGACAGATAGTCTTTTTGCAGGAGAAGCACCTCTTACCCTCATCAACGCTTACAATATACACGATGTTAGTTTGTGGAGAGATCTTAACTCGAAATTCGTTTTACAAACTTACAGAGACGCATTTTCCACCACTTCTGGAAAGCCTGATAAAGATTACATAAAAGAAATGTATGGAACCTGTTACAGCATTATGCAGAAAGCTATAAAACATGATGTCGATGAAGATGGCCTGATTGAAAACGGCGGACAACCAGATCAAACTTTCGACTCGTGGGTTATGACTGGTGTAAGGTAGTGTAAACATCACTCATTTATTGTTAAACAAGTACAGTTTATTCGTCGAGGATACATCTATAAGTTGAGACTCTCAGCAATATCTATTTTCTTGCTTTGTATCAGCAAGAAGCTATCTCATCTGGTGTGCCACAGGGTTCTGTGTTGGGTCCAGTTCTGTTTTTGTTGTATATTAATGATTTGACTATGATAGATATATCTGGCAGCTTTACTCTATTCGCGGATGATACAAGAATATTGTGGAAGAAAAAAAACCCAGCAGAGCTACATAAAAAGATATCATCTGATTTAGAAAAGATGAAAAATTTGTATGATGCTAATTTATTATCCTTGAATATCTCCAAAACAAATATAATAACATTTAAATGTCTGCTAAATGAACTGTCAATAGACAATGATATCTTGGAAAACAAATTGAACACAAAATTTCTTGGTGTCTATATTGATAATAGGCTCAAATTCGATGAACACGTCAGACAACTTAAGAGTAAAATCTCCTCCGGATGTTATGCAGTGAGGGTGGTTTCTAACGAGCTGGGTTTTCACACAGCTCAAAGGGTTTACTATGCTTTATTTGAATCCTAAATGAGATATGGAATACCATTTTGGGGAACATGCAGTGCAATCCTTCTCTCATCTGTGTTGATATTACAGAAAAGGGCAGTAAGATGTCTCTGTAAAGTCAAACCTAGGGAATCATGCCGAAATTATTTTGCGGTCAATAAGATTTTAACCGTCGTTGCACTGTCCATTCTTGAAACTGTATGTTTGGTGCACAAACATTAAACGGAGTTTGACTTTGTTTCTTCCCCTTATGCTACTCGTAATAGCATATTTAATATTAGACTTCCTATACCTAACTCAACATTAATCAAGGATTCCATTTTTTATAATGGTGGATAATTATAGCTTGCATGAATCATTTTGAACGTGTATTCCATTTTATATTTATTTTTATTGTATTTGTACCTGTTTTATTCAAACCTTCATTAATTGCCAGTTTTTATCTATACACCATTAGTTATTCTTATTGATGAAAAAATAAATAGTTTTTGAAAAAATGAAAATTCGTTTTTAATTTTTTGAACAGACAGCATATATCCAACTTTAATCTAGGTGTATTGCTTTCAGACGTATCGTCATGTATTATATTTATTTTGTTAGATAAAAAGTAACTCAACAAAGTAATAATCTATTGATAAAATCATCATTATTTTTGAATTTTAGTGCGTATTGTGGTGGATTGTGGCTAGGAGCCCTCTATGCGATAATGGCAATGGCAGAACATTTGGGAAAAGTAGAAGATAAAAAATTATTCGAGGACATATTTGCGAAAGCTAAACCAGCCTTCGAAAAAAGACTGTGGAACGGGAAATATTACGATTTTGACGAGTCCAAAAATAGCGCCAAATCAATTATGGCCGACCAACTTTGCGGACATTGGTATTTGAAATGTTGTGGAGTCGAAAACTATGAAGTAAATGTTTGAAATTATTTTTTCTAGATTTGGATATTAGTTAAGAGAGAAAAACGTATGTGTTTCGAATTGAAATTTAAGAAATGGACGTTTTCAACATATCAGCTGTTCTGGAAATGTATTTAAATATTCAAAAAAATCATATAAGAGAAAATACTGCAAGTTGTTGATTATAATTACAAATATAATACATTGTCAATATCTCTATAATGTTTTGAAACGTAATTCAAGTACATTTATAGATAATAGAATATGCAATTTATAATCATTTCAAATTACTTGCATCATTTGATTTTTGATTAATCATTATACACTCGAATGGGTCTGTGAGAGTCAAAAAGTTATGTGATTATAATTTTATCCTTATTTTATGATAGAGGAAAAACAAATTCACTATCTATATAATTTGAAAATAATCCAAGGATCTGCAACAAGTATTTATTGCAGACCATGACATACTTTTACACAAATTGCAGTTACGTGGTATACATGGCTCTGCTTTGAATTGGGTTGGATCTTACCTGACATAGTCAGCTGGTCTGTGTGAATGGAATGAATTCTGAAAGAAAATGTATATCAAGAGAGGAACCTCAGGGCTGTGTTTTGGGATCACTTTCTATTTTTGGTTTTTATAAATGATACTGCGAAATTTTGTTCAAAAGCTTCCATTACTGTTATTTTTGCAGACGATATTAACATCTTGGTATCTGCGAGAACTATGTCCAAAGTCATTGTCAAAGCTAATGAAGTAACTGATCAAATTTTTGAGTGGTGTTCTATGAATAGCCTCCTGCTAAATTATGTTAAATCTCAAATGCTCAACTTTGTTAATCAAAATACAACAATTGATAGAAGCTATTTGGATTCACTAAATGTTTGATTGATTGATATACAATGTATTCTGGTCTTCAGTTCTCTGCAATGTCTAATTATTTCAGATTTTTCCTAAGGAGAACATCAGTGCTGCTCTGTCAACTATATACAAAAACAATGTACAGTCCTTTTGTGGTGGAAACATGGGCGCTGTGAACGGCTTTATTAACGGAAGACCGGATGAATTGACATTGCAGAGCGTAGAAGTATGGACTGGAGTCACGTACGCTCTGGCTGCAACAATGATTCAAGAGGCAAGTTTTCAGACGGGTTTTTTTACCTTTTGTGAAATTGTATAGCTTGTTTCAGGGCATGACAGAGGAAGGCTTCAAAACGGCCGGAGGGATGTATCAATCGATGGTAGAACAATTCGGTATGGCTTTCGATACTCCAGAAGCCATATATGCCACCAAGCATTTCAGAGCTGTAGCGTACATGAGACCTCTCAGTATTTGGTCCATGCAGATAGCGTGGGAGGCGTATAAGAAGTACCTCAAACATTAAGTTTTCATTGTAAGGATTTAATTCAACAGTCATATTTATGCTAACAATACAATTAATATAAATAAACGTTAGAGATTTTTTTATGTTGGTTGAAATTTATCTGTTTGTGAAACGCTTCTCTTTCTATAGTTTTAGAGAACAATGAAATCGCCCTTATGAAAAAAGATTGAGGCAGAAAAATTATGAAAATTTTAACCTCAAACTTCATATTCAAAGTTCATATTCGTATCTTCTAAATTATAAAGGTTATGTTATTGAGATTATACTCAGTTTAATTTCACCGCTGATATTTATCTTCATCTGTCCTGATCTAGGTATAGGGTCTTGCTCCCCGCCACCTTTTTTTCTCTATTTTCAACCGTTCTCGAAAGACAGCAACTGCATTTCTTCAAAACATTTCACAACGCCACACTACTTGATTATTGACAAATCGTAGTTGCTTTGCTATTTTTAAACTGTATTGGGTTTTTTCTCAATCCAATTGTGGTTATTGCGGAACATTTTTGCCGAAATAATGATAATACAAATAACAAATTAATTAATTTTGACCTAAAGTTATTTCTAGCACTTGACCTAGTTTGTATTGCACACAAAGCAAATTTCACTTGTTCTGGTTCAGAATCAATTAAAATTAATATAAATATAAACAATGAATAGAAATACAGACACAAAAAACAAATTGGAGTTTATTTAGAGAGAATAATTCAATTTTTATTAATTAACACACTTTTATTAGCTTCACCTTTATATTTGTTTGTAACTCTCAAGCTCGGGATCTGTATTTGACAGAATTATCGACAAATTGATGGATGTAGCCGTTACTACGTGATAGAAGATCATAATGAAAAGAGAAATGAAAATTTCTATGTTTTTTACCACTTTTCATTGTAACAAACGTTACCGCAGTTTCGTCCTATATGGACATTCTCAAACTAATATAATAAACTAACAATGATTCATTACTTTCGCCGATATATACCATTCAGGTACTTGATTGAGTACCTGAATTTACAGTTCACAATGCGGATGTGCCAATTTAAAAACCAGAGAGTAAATTAAATTGATTTGATCATTCAACAGGTTGCACTAGCAATGTTTATGCTTGTAAATTTCCAAGGATTCTAAATAATTGAGTTGGCAATAATTCCTTGCATAGTGCAGAATTTCAGAGGTACTACACGACAGCTGAACCAATTTATGACATTCATGAACAATCTCCAACAACAACATTCAGTTCACACTCGAAACAGAGATAGAGAAACAGATAAATTTCTTAGACCTGACCATTACACACAATCAGAATAAATTCGAGTTCAATGTTTTCAGAAAACCTAGCTATACAGACATCACCATCCCAAGCGATTCTTTCCATCCAGACAGTCTTAAATTAGCAGCCTACAACTCAATGTTGTACAGAGCATTCTCACTGCCTTTGTCTGCAGACAATCTAGCTAGGGAAATTGATACAATTACACAGATAGGTCATAATAATGGTTTTAACGCAGATACTATCCAGAAGTTAGTCAGGAAACAAAGCTGGAAATTCACCTAGAGATTAATATATCCTCAGGTCAAACAACCAGAAATCAAGAAATGGGTAACGCTAACATATTTTGGAAAAAGAACAGAAATAATCGCAGGTTTCTTCAGAAAAAACAATGTGGGAGTTTATAAGCTTAAGTGTCCGGAGTGTGATAGTGTTTATGTGGGACAATGCGGACGAAATTTCCAAAAATGGTATGCTGAACATGAAAGGTCCTTCAGACTAGGAAAAAATGATTTGACCATTCCTTGGCATGCAACCACAAGTTTCCGAATCTAAACAATACGGAAATTCTGCACTATGCAAGGAAGGGTTGCAAACTCAATTATTTAGAATACTTGGAAATTTACAAGCATAAACATTGCGGATGCAACCTGTTGAATGATCAAATCGATTTAATTCACTCTCTGGTTATCAAATTGGCACATCCGCATTGTGAACTGTAAATTCAGGTACTCAATCAACTACCTGAATGGTATATATTGAATGTAATGAATCATTGTTAGTTTATTGTATTAGTTTGAGAATGTCCATATAGGACGAAACTGCAGTAACGTTAGTTACATTCGAAAGTGGTAAAAAAACATAGAAATTTTCATTTCTCTTTTCAGAATTATCGACATTATTGCTTGATCTGTTCTCGGGTAGATGGCGCTAACGTAACCTCCTTGATATAATTCGAGCTCACTTTACATGTATTTCTTCATTTGAAAAAAGTATTTTCATTATTAACACGCGCGCCTGCTGGCTTATCTGTAACCCACCTTTGCGCGCCTGCTGCCTTAAGCTTGGTAGCTGATTTTCAGCCTCCCTCTCCGGAATCGGAAAATATTAATGATCATTTTTCTAAACAATAAACGGCTGATTGATCCCAAAGATTAGATAAAATAAATTTAGTTTAAAAACCTATCAAAAACACTTATATAGCATACGAAACTAAAAAATGAAAAATGAATATAGTTTGAAAAAACTTACAACCACGCTTTTAAAGAACATCGAACTGAAAAGTTGAAAATATTTTTTTTAAATAATCTTGAAACAATNTTTTATAATGGTTTGACGATTCTGATTTGTATTCGGTTTGGAAAATGTATGATTTTGTTTATATTCCCGTAAAACATTGTAAATCGAAGCGCAACACACTCCAATTTTATCGGAAACTTTCGATACGACTTCGTCGACAGTCGATGTCTCAATTTCTTCCATCTCTTTCTTGAACACATTTAAAATCACTTCTTTCATCTCAACACTCAAATGTCTTTTTTTGGATCGTTTCCTGGCTGGACTCAGAGGATAGCTCACAGTGTCATCAGCAGTGACTGTACTGGACATCTTGGAAAACAATTTACTATAACGCACGCCACACAAACGACTGATTACAACCCTGTGCTGGTACCGAACTCGTACCAAGAAGGCGAATTCACCAATGAACGCTGCCCTTTCCATCTAACACTGGGCGATCACGTGAACATCACGCTTCGGTTTTGTTTTACTCTATCTTGGATTTGGATAGACTTTAGATCTTGTAAATACTTAATATATAGTCAATTATCAAGTTTTTTTATAGAGATTTAAGATTGTGGTTTTTAAATATTGTAGAACAAGATCACAAACATTATATTTACGTTGATTGGGCATAATGGATATAAATAAAACACTTTTCCAATACCAGAAATGAAGCAATGTGCTTTAGTTCTACGGTAAAAGTGTTTTAATTAGGTTTTTTGGGCATATGTATCATTTTGGTTCAGTTTTTTATTTTAAATATTCAATCAAACAATCAGAAAGAGATAACACTACATTTCGGTAATTTGTTCACTATCCAAAATATAATCAGATGTATGTTGGCAATACATAGAGATATTTTTATTCAGTTGAGATTCATGATAATGCCAGCCCTCTATATTCATTTTCTAATTTTCTATTATATATATCTGATAACATGATGAAGGTGGATAGAAAATACATTCTCAACTGGATATTGTCAAATCTAGGAAGAGACTTGAGAATTCTCGCAGCCAGCACGTTTGCTGAAAAAGTAGGCATTAAGATCAAAAAGGATGCAAACTAGCACTCGTATAGACTACAAGATTATTATTGTAACTGAGTGCTCTTGCCGTCTTCTGGCCCGCATCTAGTAGGCAGGATCATATTGAAATTTAGAAAGATCTTCCTAGATTTGATAATCTACGTACTACATTTGAAGTGGCAAAAAACTTCAACAAGTCCTTCTCCAGAATTACACACCAGCAGCAGCACTTTTCCCTCAACAGAACAAGAATACGGTCTCTCGTTATAGTCTATATGAATTCAATCCAAACAGCTAAATAAAAGAGTAATGTACAGAGTCTGATAAATTTACTAGTTAACACCTTATAAAACCTCCCACATATGACACGCCGCCCGTGCCATAAAAAGAAACTGCCGACGTTCGGTAACTATTTAGTTTTTATGCCATTGGAATTAACTTCGTATATACGATAATAACCGTTTCGTCTGCTACTGCGCAGACATCATCAGTGGTATGTGCGTTTGCTGCAATTCTCAGTTACGAACGTAACAGAGACAACCGTTTGGCTTTATATACTTACCAAGTAGACAAAAGAAAGAAACATTCTTCAAAGAAACAGTTTGAACAGTTCAATTCTTTATTGATACTCTAACAATTACAGTGGAACGAATAATCTCAACACCACTTACTTTCGAAAAAAATGTTACTCGCTAACCTGAAACTATATTACATTATGGAATTCTTATGATAAAAATAGCTCAAAGGCAAAAGACAAGTTAATTATTGTTTACGCTCTTCTTGTATATACATTTATACAATAAAATCAATACTGCTCCAGTACAATGAAAAATTTTCATCGTAAAAATTTGCAAATATTGTCAAAAATTTGATGTTACATTATAAACTGCACATCCTGGTATTGTAAAAATACTATTTATATACATCCAGACGAAACTCAGAGGGGGAAACTCCAATAAACAGCCCTACTTTTAAAATAAGTGTGCTTCGACAGAAAAATTATTAAGATTTTCATAGTACGTTGAGTTTTAAAAACTTTTGGAACCTAACATAATTCTGGTGGACATGAGCAACCGTTATTGGGATCTAGATCTTTGCTTCAATCATGTCCACGTTTATCTTGTAATATACGTAAGGGTAATACTCTGATTGGCCGAAACCTAAGCCTGGAATGTCGACGCTCTAAAAAGAAGAAAGATAATTTTAGAGTTGCGAATCATCGATTTCAGTCAATATCGTGAAACTCACATCAAAATTGGGCCCAGAAAGGGCAGCGCTACTATCTAGATGGCCGTATAACTGATTCAAAACGTCCCTCAACCGTTTCATTGTCTTTTTATTGGGATGGATTAGCATGGCTTGGAAATTGACCGGTAAACCATATCTGTAAACAAAAAAAAATCAATGCAGAAAAGGAAAACCAACAGTGTGTCACACAAAATCATATCAAGCATGTCCACATTAAGAAATATACTATTCATGAATCTTGTTTTACCAATATTTTATCTAGAGAAATGTATAAGTGAGCAGATACTCCTCCTATGAAGTTGATTTACGGATACCTCGATTTTGATATAGGGAAAAGTCATTGAAGGTCGTCTTAATTTTTCATCATCTTTTGACAATGTACTTGTTAAATAACTGTCAAAATGAGAGAAACAGCAAAAAAAATAATCAACAATATTGATGATATTATTGTATATAAACCTTTGTATTTCATTCAAAACTGTTTACATTTGTAAGGATCTCCACCAATATTTGAGAAACTGATCAAAGTTGAGAATAAGAAACAAACACAGCGAGGAGAAACCAGCAAATCAGGAATAGCAGAACACATTTGGACTCATCAATATAACATCAAGTGGGCTCAAATCTTCCACAAGGAAGAACACTGGTTCAGGAGAAAATTCAAAGAAGCCGCATATACTTTGTCCAACTACCCATTTAGCCAAGCTAGCGTAGAGATACGTAACATATGGACACCTCTAATCAAGCGGAACACGACCAACTCCCGCCAAACAGTCAGCTTCCGCTAAAACGGAGAGAGGGAAGCACTCGAAATAGTCAGATCTCTGAGAAATAAGTCCAGTTATCACCCGAAGACGATTGTGGACACTAACAATCGAAATGTCGTGAAGTAACTTGGTTTGGAATCTTTTATTGGTTGTTGTTTGTATTTTACTTCATTGTAATTTCAGTTTTTTTGCTTAATATAATTTTTATTTTTGCAGCTAAACCTCTTTTTTTTAATTTATTACAGATTCTTTTCGGTATTTCAAATCAATTTATATCATACTAGACAATGGAAGTCCGAACTACTGAAATGCACCAAGAAACATTGTTAACTACCTTCAAATTTCTATGTTGAATATATATTTCCATTATATTTTTGTTCATCATTTGAAATGTATCAAAATTACAGACTTACAGTGTAGGAGTACTGGCTCAATAATTTCAACTGAAATGAGAAACTTTTTCAAGCAATACGTATAATAAATGAATATTACGTGCTTGCTGGTTAGATTTTTATAATACTGTCAACAGTATATGTCCATGGCACACTAAACACTGAGCGTCTGTCCAACGAGAGAGGAGGAGCTTGCCTTCCGCTGAAGTAAGCGTGAGAGAAAGGGGAGCCAGACAGACTGGCAACGTAACGTGTCAGGTAACGATGTCGTTTACCCTCCCATAAAAAGTTATCACTTCAAAAATATGGGAAACTTTCATAGGAAGGAAGAGATCGATTGATTTCAAAACTCTCCACGGAGATGTGTAGATCATACATAGAAATTACTTTCAGATACCTGAAAGAAAAAGCCCTCTTGAAACTACATCCATATAAACATTGAATTACACAAACAAAAAGGTATTTTCGAAAGAACTACTTTTATATGATCATTGAATTATACAAAAATAACTTTTTTTCAATTCAGTTTGTGCTACAAACTTTCGTTATGGAATTGAACCAGATATCATTTACAGGAACCCTACACAATATACTATAATATGAAAGACATAAAATTTCACTTACACATTTTCCACATTTTTTTGTATGAAGATGGAAAAGTAGACAGTCAAAACCGTTCTTAATATCAATGGGGAAAAAAGCTCTATGAAATGTTCAAAAATTACTTTAGTTCTGTAATCTCTGACAGAAATTCCCTTATATATGTTTCAGATACTTCTCACTCAATATCAGGTAGTTTTTATTTAATTGAATAGAACTGGCCGATACTTGATGAAAATCCATATTAAAAAACTCCTCAAGCATGCTTGAGGAAGCTATTGTATAGCGAAACACGTGTCACGGTTTTTGTAAAAGTGTTTATAGTGAAAAATCATAAAATAAACTATATCAATTAGTTTTTTTTTAGTGTTGATTTATCAATTTCTGAAATTTATGTAATTATCAACAATTCGACGTTTTTCAATAGTTTTGAACCTGACGGGATCCCAGCTATTTTGATATATGTATTTAACAGAAATAACATCTGATCACATTTTTATATTGCCTTCACCAAGCTCCATTCAATATTAAATTTTGTAAGTAAGTCAATGAAAGGAGTTACACCTGAATTGTTTGCACCCTTGTATGACCTCATATTGAATATGTTTGATCAGTGTGAAATCCCTCCTATCACCGTTATTTACATGTATTAGGAAAAAATGTTGGAAGCAATTGAATATATAACCATTCACAATTACACTATGCTCAGTTAAAAACTCTTTGAAGTACCTCTTCATTCTTATTATTGCTCTTGTTCACAGTCCTTCAGAATCAGACAAATTAAGCATGAGTTTCTTTATATCTCTTTTCTTACGGAACTCAAGTTTAGATAAGAAGTTGCTAATATTTACATAATCCTGTATTTTGAGCCTAAGAGTAATATAGCTATAGGAGTTCTGGCCCATTTTTTTTGGGAAAAACACGTGTAAATTTGAGCAGGTCCATTCTGGCGTTTTTTAGACCTCAGGCCCAGTTCACACGGAAGGGACAAAGGTCAGCGCCTCGTCTCTGCTAGACGTCCATTCTATATGAACGGGGCTCTAGACTTTCAGAGCCCACTCCTTCACTTTTGCCGTCATTCAGTCAACCAATCAGCTACTGCGCATACAGCGGGAAATTCAAACCAGTAGATGAACAACGAGGGTACGAGCACAAAATCCCATGTATTTTCTTATGGAGCTAACTAAACTTTTTGCAATTTTTGGTTCAAACAGGAGTGGGGGAAACGTGTGACATCATCGACGCAGGATGGAATGAGTATCGTAGCGATTCAAGCGTGGAACTCCGCCCCTCGGCCCCCTTAGCACTCCGCCCCTCGGCCTCCTTAGCATTCCGCCCCTCGGCCCCCTCAGCACTCCGCCCCTCGGCCCCCTTGTCACGTGATCCTGTTTAAAAAGTGTATCGGTATGAGATTTGAAAACAGGACGTCGGCGTGGTAGACATTGTCCTTAGCCTCGACACCAACGTAATATATTGTATATGATTGCGAATGGTTGGTATTTATAGCGTTTGTTTTGTCGGGACTGAAATTGACTCATTTCATATACTTGATCGCATTTTTTAATTTCCGTAGAATGGGCATGTACACAAAGCTGCGATGTGACGCGATGCGAATTCGCAACGCAGAAAGTTGCGACACGAATTGCTGCGATGCGAATTCTTGCGACAAGTGGCTCCCTAGGGTGACCATTCCTTCGACGACCGTCAACCGTACTGGACGTATTTTGAAAACTATGTCGTGTAGAGGTACTAGATGTGGGAGGTGACATGGATCGTAAAAAGAAGTGTGCACTTTTGCTATTGCTTAAGAGATACAGGCAAAAGAAACAAAGAAGATTTTGGGTTCATCCCAATCAATTCGTAAGTTCTTACGATGCGTAGTGCGAGCTCGCAGATTTTTGCGTTGCGACGTTGCACCGCAGTTTTGTGTACAAGCCCAATGTCAGAGAAATTGTTACGACAGTATCATGTTGAAGATATAAAAATATACTTAGATTTGGGAGAGAATTAATATTTCATATGAAGGTGTGTATGTGTGTGTAAGAATGAGAGACATGTGTGATGTAATCGACGCAAAGAGAGATGGAGATGGTATCGAGGTTATACGCCGCCAATGACAGCATGGCAGGTTCGGTGTTGCCGGTTGTAAAATAAATCGTTGTTTATGAGGCAATGTAGCATTGCCGGTTTCAAAATTAGGTTAGGAATACGACTCGATGAAAATTATATGGTAAGGACTAGGAGGGCCCTTACGTTGTGCGTTCCAACATGTCAGAAGGACACTAATTCGTATCTTTGTTAACCAAGTTAGCATCATCAGGAGAAGGAGGAGATGGCACCAAAGGTGTCGAGGAGTTACGTATTGTGGAGTTAATGTTCGAAAATTGGGAAAGCTAAGTATTCGATCGTTTTAAGTGCGTTTCGTCTGTTTTACGTGCGTTTCGTCTGTTTTACGTGCGTTTCGACAGTTTTGTATGCGTTTCGACCGTTTGGCGTGCATTTATTCGTTATCGATTCATCGTTATTTTCGTAGCCGTTTACGTGTTTCAATATGACAGTCATCTATCACTTAACGCGTTTCGCTAACCAAGTAAGCAGTATCAGGAGATGACTAAAGTCCATGCTTTGTCGTATGAAGGTTCATTTTCCGAATTTTCAGACTTCTGAACGCAACCTTGTAGAAAAATCTACACCTTGAATCTCTCTACTGGTGGTGATTAGCAATACATTTTCAAGAAATTTCGCTGCTATGTTCCAAAAAGTCCAAGTCCTGGTTTGTTGCTTGACTGTGACTCTACTAGATGATAGCCAAAGCCCAACTGGTAATTCAAATTCCGGCCTTCTTACCTCAACACAGACTCCACAAAAACTCTCAGAGCTTTCACGTGAATCCAAGCGCAGAAGCACTCGCTAAAGTTCACCTTCAACCATCTGACTAGCGGACCCTACAAAAAAATACATCTGAATGAAACGAACGAAGAAAAGCTCGTCTTTTCTTACGAACTGCTTCTTCTTATCCGTGACGAGTTTCGTGATTTCATTCTTGCCCGCAGCCAACTCTTCCTCATTATAAATAAAGTCGCGCACGATGAACTTCTTTTCTCTGGCGTGCAGTTTGAACTCCTCCACGACTTTCTTGAACAATGTCACGGTATAGAGTCCGTACTCGTTGTCTTGGGTGATGAGCTGCGTCGAACGGGGTACGATCATGTCGGTGATCTTTTCATAAGTGGCGTTCCACTCCGAGAACTGCTGTCTGAAAAAAAATTAATGATGATACTAGGTTGTTAGTCCGTTTTGTCCGTTTCAAAGTCATCTGTTCTTGTAGCTCTATATCTCAATAAATATTTATTCTACTTATTCATGGTATATACTGATCGAAGGAGATACGTTTCAAGAAGTAATTACTATCCAAAATCTCAACTTACTTTGGCACGATAACTAGGAGTGTTTGCAAATATTCCGAATCCAATATAAAGTGTTCTTTCTTCACCAAGTCTGCCAAGTTGCGAGATAATAAACTCCCTCTGAAAAATAATAACCAATAAAAATCATTATACGAGTATACTTCAAAAAGAATCCTTTAACAAACTTACGTTTGCTTCTTTTCCAAATTCTGGAGGCTGCCTTTCAAGTTGTTGTACGCCGAAGACTTGGTTTTGAGATCGGCGTCGATCTGACCGACCTGCTTGCTGATAATATCGGCAATGTTACGGAGAGACTGCTTTATCGGATATTTGGCAATGTCCCACTGGAATCTCGTTAGATAATTTGGCAAATCGGCTATAACGACGGAAGTACATAATAAACAACTCTGGCGATCGAAGACATACACAACATTTTTATAAAAAACATGAAGATTCGTTCATTGGGGAAAAAATCTTGCGAATCTCGGGGTTTCATGCATTAGGTTTTTTTGTTGATGATGCTGGAAAAAATGGCTACAAAAATCTACGAGAATATATCTTGAAAGTTCAGAAAACCAATCAAAGCAGTATGAATACGTGACAATACAAATAATTTGAAAAAAGATCGGAAAAACATTTTACTTGTGTCTATCATTAATGTCGTTTTTTTGTGCGGTCACGTGTAATGTACTGCGATTTAATTGATTATCTAGCTATCTCAACTAATGTGATACCTACTTATTTTTTAATGTAGTATTTCAAAAACTCGTTCATTTGAATAAACACACTACTAAGGGGTAAGATATCTCTTCGCATCTGCTTGTAATCAATTAGTTATGTATATATAAAACAAGTTCGCAAAATTTTTTCACCAACGATTTCTGCCAAAAGCTAACATGATCAAAACAATACCACAGTCTACATATGTAAGCCAAGAAGAGGAGGAGTGATCTGTGTACGTGTAAACATAATAAAGACTACAACGAATAATAATCAGTAAAATTGTTTGGAAAATGAAGAACGCAGCACTGCCTCAAAAATAAAAAAAAACTGTGCCCGGATCCAACTCGTCACACATTCAATTTATTTCAAGATCGATTTTGAGCATACCGTGTTGAAAGTCAAGGAAAATCACAATTCAGTGGCAGTAGAGAATCAGTGCGCATGTATCAAGTAGATTGTTAAGAATTACTTGATAACTTTTCGGATAGCATCGCATCTATTAGATGGGCTGAAAAATTAGAAGGCAACACACAGATGGCGCAACTAGTATTAAAGCTATATGATTGTTAATTAATTCTAACCTTAAACGACATGTGTACAACTTTCACAGCTGCAGGCTAATAGTGGGATTGAACATTTTAAGTGAACAATAGTCTCCGGTTAGTTTTTGGGGGCCCCATGCAAAAATTCAGTTAGGAAAGTCAAGATAAAAAATACAATTGATCAGAAAGTAAAAGCACATAGAGGCTGAATTTCGACCAAAGAAGGTCAGATGTCAACCTTGCTGAAGTGCCCATCAGTAAGTTGAGGACCGCTCCGGAGGAGCGGGGGTGGATGGACGAGATGGGAATGTTCTGCACACATTAACCGTGTAGAGAAGATTTCAACACAGGACACTCAATCCGGGAGGGGGCATGGTTTGAAGAAAATGGATAAAAAGGAATATCGTGTGTTAATAAGGCATTGCTTTTTGGCGAAACAATAGAAAGTCCACACATCGTTCATGAATATTTGGGAAGATGAAAGCTCTGTTCGAAGTGGGTGCCGCGTGAGCTCAAAAACAACAACGAATTGATGATTCTGATCAGTGTTCGAAATTGTTCTTCCATAAAAATCTTGGAATCTTGGAATGCGCATGTTATAATATTCACCAACTACGTGGGTGAATCAAATATAAACGAGACTTTTCGACCTTCAGGCACAATAGTGGAAGGAGAACGTTCCCGCTATGTTTGTTGTTGGGTAGGTTTGTCAGGAGTAGGGGAAGCACGTGGGCTAGCCTCTTCGACCCTCTCAGTGTCCACGGTGACGATGTAGGAGCAAGAGGTACCTACATCCGCCAATTGCGCAACGTGTTGTAATCAAGTTTCACGCCGCAGAAGGCGTAAAACCAGCCAAAATCTTGAAGAGATTGACTGCCCGTTTCGGGGAAGAGACACTATCGCGAGCCAGAGTGTTTGCATGGCATAAACAGTTCGTGAAGGGTCGTGATCGTATTGAAAACGAGAGCCACGACCGCAGAACTCGCATCAGCATTACAGCGAACATCAGCAGTGTTCGACGCCTTATTGAAGATGACAGACGTCGTACCACTTATGAAATTGCAAGTGAGGTCGGGATAAGTATGGGAGCACTTACTCCATACTGACAGACAAGCTAGGGCACCGTAAGATGTGCCCCACGTGGGTTCCTCGCCTTCTCACAGCTGACCAGAAATTGCATCGTCTTCAGGTGTGTGGGCGTCTTTTTGCACGATTTCAGGAACACTGAAACCAATTTCTCACTCACATTATCACCTGTAATGAAACATGGGTGCACCACTACACCCCAGAGTCTAAACAAGCGAGTATGGAGTGGAGAACACAAGGAGAACCTGAACCAGTGAAAGCCAGGTCAAGTTTGTCGGCTGGCAAGGTTTTGGTCACCGTTTTTTTTTGACCAGCGTAGATTGCTGTATCTCGATTTTTTGCACGAGCGCAGGACAATTAATGCGAACTACTACTGCGACGTTTTGAGTGAGATCCGACTTGCTAATCGCCGCAAAAGACGAGACCTATCGATCAGGGAAGTGGTTCTTCTCCATGACAAAGCTCGCCCCCATACAGCAGCCTTGACTAGGGAAAAATTGGAGCAATTGGGGTGAGAAACATTGGAATACCCTCCTTACAGTCCAGTCCTGTCACCCTGTGACTTTCATGTGTTTGGCCCTCTCAAGGAAGCTGTGGGAGGCCAAAGATTCGATAGTGATGCTGAGGCTGAAGCCTGCGTGCGCAATTGGCTGCAGACATGACCTTCTACGTAGAAGGAATTGGAAAGCTGACTATTTACTGGGAAAAATCAGGAGATTATGTAGAAAAATTAACTGTACTCTTTTTTGCGCTTAAAATGAAAATAAATTACCAAAAAAAGTCTCGTTTATATTTGATTCACCTAGTATCTTGAAAAGGGAAAAACCACCAACAGCGACTATTACATGGCGTCATTGGAGCGTTCGAAGAACGAAATCGCACAACCCTGTGCGACCCCATTTGAAAAAAGGAAAGTGCTGTTCATCAAGGCAATGCACCGTGTCACAAATCAATGAAAACAATGGCAAAATTGCATAAATTGGGCTTCGAACTGCTTCCACCGCCACCGTATTCTCCAGATCCAGCCCCCAGCGACTTTTCTCTGATCTCAGACCTCAAGAGAATGCTCGCTGAAAAGAAATTTAGCGCCGATGAAGACGTAATCATCGAAACTGAGGCCTATTTTGAGGGTAAAGACAAATCGTATTATAAAAATGGTATCGAGAAATTGTATATGACTGCTATCTGTTGTTGTATCACCCTCGAAGGCAACTATACGGAATGATGAAATCAATTTTATCGAAAAAAAAAATCTGTTAGCCCACAAACTTTTCAGCCCAACTGTTATATATTGCTATATACGAGGGGTGTTCAAAAAAGCAATAATACCATCCTGTGTCTATAATGATCAGTATAGGGTTCGCGTAATGTGATAGTTGAAACAACGTTGTAACACGACCAGATTACTAAACATTGTTTTGGATTTTTTTTGCTTCCAAGCAACCCTCGTATTTTTATGTAGTTATTATTCATTTAATCATATTACTTAATCTCATTTTTTAGACATTATAAAATTATTGCTTTTACGACATGCTCACAAATTCCCATAATCTGTATTGAATTGAAATTTTGTATTTGAAGGGTTATTAATTGGCAACTTGTCTGATAATTCAATAAAATAAACCAAAACCATAAATTAAGAGCCAAACAAAAAAATGAAAGTTATATCGTTACTATTAAATAATAATTATATTAAAAGTGAAAAATTTATTTATTCTTCTCTTTACGAGGGCTGTTCAAAAATTAAGATGAATTTTAATTTTTCTCAAGAAATATTTATTCATTCATCAATTTCTATTCTGCCCCCTTCAGAGTAGTTTCCTTCAACGTTTTTTTTAATTCTCGAAGCAGTTCTGATATGCACTTTTTGATATGACCTTGAGCTCTCTCTCAATCGTCGCAAAACACCGTTCTTTCATGGGTCTCTTCAATCTTGAGAACATATGGGGAGCAAATCTGGTAAATACGTAGGCATGATTACGGTGTTGATCGAATTGGCGTGCTTTTTTTTCTTTCAGCTCTCCTGGGCTCTTCCATTGGGACGATTGGGCTTGGGTTTCGCTGTCATATCCATATACCCATGATTCTTCACCAGTTATGACCCGTTGACATCATTCAACAATTCCTGGGTGATGGTCATGTGACGATTTTTTGGTCAAAATTTGTACATTCACCTTATTTTTTGAATAGACCTCGTATAACCCAACCAACAACCTTCTTGAAAATATTTGCATATGTTCGAAAAAGTAGAATTTTCTAAAACGATATAAATACTTTAACGTTAAATACGAAACTCAACAAAGTGTGTCAGTTCCATTAGAAATCGAATCCTCCTGAGGTTGAAAGTATTTTTAAGTAGAATTTTCCTTTGGTGACGTCCTTCATGTTATTATTTTGAGTCGATTATACCAATTAATAACCTCAAATGTGGTGTTACACGCTCCTAAAAGTTTTTTCCTCACAAACTGAAATAATTCAATGTCTGACAGCAAGAAAAGAGGGGACTCAAAAGTTATGAACGCCTTTGAGAATATATCATCCCTTATATCGTGAAATCCCAAAATTCAGTCAATGCACCAAATAATAGCGATTTTGTTTACCTACATAAAGTAAAGACAAAAAAGTGAGTAAATGTTAAAAATAACAAAAATCCAACTATTCAGTTGTTCACTTCAGTTCGAGTCATTCTTATTTTTTATATTTCTGGCCTTTCAATAATTCCTTCTGCAGTAAAATTCAATTACCATAACGAGCAGTATCATTTCTCGAAAATCGTATACAGTGAATCAGGACGTCTTACAGATCAACAAACTGTTATATCCGAAGCAACATTCATATTTTAATTACAAAATCCATTCGATTGTTTGTTGTTTTATATCATTACGTTATATCAATTTCTGTCTGGTATTAACCGGGAGAGTAGTTGTTTCCCGGCCTGCATTTGCCAGATCCTGTGTAGTAATGAAAGGAGAGGTGAATATTTCGATTTTTATTTCGAATCGACATTTTAGTGAAACTTGCTGTG